GCTGATGAAAGCCAGGCGAGGTAGAAACTCCATTCTAGTAAGGCCTGGGCGAGAATACCCTTTGTAAAGTAAGGCCATGTGAAATTCAACGGTAAGGTAAGGCATACTGTGGAAAAACTTCAACCACCAATCCTCCGTCACCTTTATCATCAACCTAGACGGAATAAAGCCCTTACATCTGAACTACCGGTAGTCTCGAAAACAAAACTGAAATGTAGTCTCCAAAGCACCGGTGGAGGGCATTTCTTCGAATAAGTCTCGATAGCAAATTAAAATTGTATCTAAAGAGAAGCTGGTTTTTGACCTGCCTTCATTTCATGCAAGAGAGCGAGTCGATTAGATGTGTTGAGTGAGTTCGGTAAAGAACAAAGACGCATTTTTCGTATTCAACAGAATACTGTGAGTAGGTCGTGAGCTTTGCGTTTAGTCATTCACTTTTGGGTGAAACGAGCTTACTAAATGAACTGACAGTTTTTAAACTTACTCGTCAATTACAACAAATAAATACGCGTCTTTAGCGTTCACACCATAGAAGAGTGAATTCAACTACTATCTTGAAAGTCACGTCTGTCTCGTAGCCCATTAGCATTTGTAGTTGCGTAGCCCTAAGTAAGTTTTGAATCTATCCATAAGTACTTAATTGAAGCAGTATTCCCCATAGGTTACTTAGTAATTGACTGACAATTGAATTTTCCCAAAATTATATGAGTAGACTTCGCAATGTCATTAAATTCCACCTAGCCTTGCTCCGCAAATGATATGCTTTTTGAAGGCAAGACTAAGCTCCTTCCTATCACTTCTTCGTGAGAAGGTACACATTTTAATCTTCAGCCCCCAAACGCTACCCAAGGTGAACTTAACACCTTTTTGAGGAGTAAGAAGTGACAAAGAATTCCTGTTGTCATGAAAGCTGTATTGGAATCATATCCAACCCCGCCGATAGCCGTCGCTAGGCAGGCGATAGCCCAACACGTGATCGTATCTACCGAAGGACTAATCACCGAGTGTAATGACAATAAATACCCGCAATCGAGATCTGGCGACTGCAAAGAATGGAGTACGCCGACTTATTCTCTTAAGAAATGCCCAATAATAGCCTATTCTAGAAATTTCCCCTCGGAGGCCATCAGGTCCACAAGCGGGAGGCAAACAGCTCAGGAGCAGATGGACGAAAAGTGGGCACAAAATGATCGCGATTACACGGTGCTGCAAGAGGCAGTCTGACGACAAGGGGCGAAACTTCGGGTAGTTGACTAGACAATCGAAAATGGCTGGTGGATTAATAGGCAAGTAGAGACAACCGATGACAACAGATTCTATGTTAGGGGGACCTTCATTTCGT